GAGTTGGAATTGAAGTGGATGATATTGGCCCAATATTTGGCGAAGAACGTCTAGTAGAACAGTATACCTCTTCGGTAATACCAGTAAACCTGTAGCTTGCCTAGTTTCGCGTATTAATGAGTTTTACCAAGGCTTAGAAATGCGAGTGCACATATTCTGTGCGTATTATATTGATCGTTTTATCCACGAAGACGCGCCCCACTATTCATCCGCTAATGTTTGAGTGTTATCGGTACACGCTAAATCATCCATGAGTGCACACGCACACTACAATAATGACGCTCGTATTGCTCGGATCAAACTCCACACACTCCGCGCTTCCCTTGACCAAAAATTGGTGGGGCGCGTCTTCGTGGATGAAACGATCTATAGCAGTACATTTAACTGTGTTTGAGTCTATAGTCTGGTCCGGGAGCACGTAGAATTTTGTCCAATGACCCTAAGCTACCCATCCTTATCGCTCGCGCGTAATTATGTTGCTGTCGCGCTCGCACACTCACTGCGGGCGCCCGTCGCACAGTCGCGACAGTAATATAATTACGCGCGAGCGATAAGGGTGGGTAGCTTGGGGTCATTGGACACAATTCTACGTGCTCCCGGACCAGACTATAGCTATCTTACCGTAGCTCTGCGGTGGGAGTTGCTGAGCATTTGGTGTACGTCGGACTTGGAACCGGTGATGTTGGTCCAGTGTTCTGCGAAGTACGTCTGGTTGCTGATGAACGAGCTGTTGTAGAAGTCGTGGTCTTCATTCTGATGGCAAAAATACGGTTTTAAAAGAAGTCCGAGACATTTTGTTGGAGCTCATTAGTTTGGTCTAAAATGTTCCTAGTTTCGAGGCCGTAAGAACCCTGATGTATTTATTTATCTTCTTTCTAAATGAAGATTCGGGCCGTATAATAATAATAAAAACTCATAAAACTCATTTATTTCTGTAAATAGGCTTTAAAAAAGCACTTTTACACGTCCCAGTATCAACCCTACCACTGCTTCAGGACAATAAATGGGCCAGTGCTGAGAAGAAGCAGCGCAAGAAACTCAGTCACTATTGTCGTATACAGTCACTATTATTGTATCTTGAAATGAATCTCGTTACATTAATTACAATGGCTGGAGTTGTAAAAATGAAAAAAGCCCAATGGTATCGATGTCGGACCGCTGATTACAGGATCGTAGTGTGATCCCATCCGACAACTGGACTCTCGTGAATCCCATATTAATTTGTCTTATATGGAATTTCGAAGTTCAAAATTTACTTATACCTAAAATAAGGAAGGTATTTGTAGGTATTTTTTTAATTATGAGTCTATAAAAAACTTACATAAGTCAAATTTCCTAAATGGAACTGGCTGTTGATCTGCTCCGGTGTCTCAAAGGCGTCAGTATTGATATCTGAAAAAAGATATTAGTAGATAAGTAGAAATCCATCTGAGAAAGCATAATCACACGAATTAGTATTTAAAAATTACACGCCTTATAAATCCTTTAGCCCTTAGACAACGCTCTGATCAAATCTCTAGTTTACTATGGCCACAACTGAGGAATCAAACTACCCGTTTGTGCCGGCTTTTACCCGTGGTCCCCCCAACATGTCCCCCTGGTGGGTCCACGGGTAATTTTTTTTACCCGTTGTCCCACCGTTCTGAACAGTGTTTTCCAGTGGGTCTACGGGAAATTTATTTTAACCATGGTCCCACCGCACTAAGTGGCAAACATTGCTTGTCACCTAGCCTAGGTATCTATAATATTTAAAAAAAATCTATAATTAATATAAAAAAATAATTATAGGTAGGTACGGCACCATAATATCTTTATACTATCTTCACATCACACATGTGGGTTAAAGTCACTCATATCCTAGACATAGGTGACATGCAATGTTTGCCACTTAGTGCGGTGGGACCATGGTTAAAATAAATTACCCGTAGACCCACTGGCAAACACTTTTCAGAACGGTGGGACAACGGGTAAAAAAAAATACCCGTGGACCCACCAGGGGGACATGTTGGGGGGACCACGGGTAAAACCCGATTTGTGCTATCAAACTAAAGATCGGTTAATCAAGCTACAGTTAAACAAAAGTTATACGACTTTAATATATCTAACCAAGTGTTTAAGTTTTACGAGTAGGAGCGTAAATGCTCTGCTCAAAATGTCACATTACACACGCAATCGCTAACAGTCGGTTCGAACTCATGCGTCATTAACGAGCGTATAATTAGCCATCGGGATTACGAGCCGACCATATAACAGTTGGATACGCTTCGCATTATTACTATAAACCGTGAAAAACGAACTTGACTTTGCTGGTTATATAAGTGTTGTATTGAGAATGGAAGGTTTCGTTGATTTTTACCCGTCTGCGCAAGAAGGAGGGTTTTGTTTTTTATATAAAGAATCCCTATTAACGAGCAATCAGCCTGTGTGTAAGGCCCAGGACACACGGTGAAACGCAAACGGTCGCGTCATGTGTGGTCTCTCAACGGAATCTATGACAGAAACTTAGATGCAACTCAAAAGTAACTAGAAGTTGCAGTTTCGTTGCAATTGCGTTTCACCGTCTGTTCTGGGCCTAACGCGAAGATTTCAATTGAAATCGTTTCGCTGTCATTGTTTCGCGGCTGTGTGTTACAGGCGTTATAATTATTTCCTAGATCAATTTTATTCGAAAATACAACAACAGACTTGCCAATTAATGCGGAATTATGAAATACGACTGAAAATAATTACGTACACGACTTAATTTATTATTGAAAAAATAAATTTCACTTCAAATGTTTTATAATATTCTGTTATGTACGTCAATAAATATTGTTTGTTACAGGTCATATTTGGAGTTGGTAATTCAAATATTGGAATTCTAATGAAAAGATGCTCAGGTAATAATCTCAAAACAATGCCAGGGTCAAACCTTGGCATTGTTTTGACAACCTGGATTAGGAAGGAATAATTTCATGCTTGGGAGGGTTGTAATAAAACCGTTATAAATATAACCACCTACACACTACTCGACATTAGGCAGTATCATAAAAACAGTTGCATGTACTTAGGAAGTCAATGCCCCAATGGTCTGACACCAGGATTTGTTTGGGGACACAATACAGAAGAAACTGTGTGTAGTGAGCTTTCCACTAGGTGTACCGGTGATCTGGTGAAAGTCGCGGGAAGTACCTGCATATGGACAGCGCAAGACCGGTCGCTATGGAAATCCTTGGAAGGCCTTTGTCCAGCAGTGGACGTCATTTGGCTGAAACTAACGAACGACAGAAGAATCAGAAGAAAGGGCTGATTTTTGTGTTCGGTTTGGTTGGTGGTAGGGCTTGTTCTAAGTCCGCCTGCTAGCTACCACCATCTTACCTACGTCTGTCGCCATAACAACAATATTAACAGCATTGTTGTGTTCCGGCAGTTAGAGGTAAGATAGCCAGTTCCTCCGTGGTTCCGGGTGAAGCTCGCTTCCACTTTCGGCCTGATCATCACTTACCATCAGGTGAGATACAGGCCAAGAGCTTCCTCGTTGTGGATAAAAAAAAATCTGTGAAGCTGTGTAGATCAGGAAGTGTTTTTGTTGGTGTCATAGCAAAGCGCGCGTGACACTCCGCGAATCAATCATGATGAACTAGGCAAATAAGTGAGCTACCTTCATTAGCCGCAAGCAAGCCAAAAGGGACTTTATTTCATGATGAACAACACCTAAAGTGCGTAGAGGATTTGAATTAATGTTTTCCGATGTTTGACACGGCATGATTACAGTGGTATAGTGAAAGTTTGCTTATTTTACGCAAATCAGAAACGCTTATCGTTGTGAGTACAGTCGACAGCATTTATTATGAATTTTTGTTGTAAAGTAGCACATATCTAAATATACTATAACCACAGAGTACTACGCTATAACACAAAAGTGACTGACTGACATAGTGATATATCAACGCACAGCCCAAACCACTGGACGGATCGGGCTGAAATTTGGCATGCAGGCAGGTAGATGACGTAGGCATCCGCTAAGAAAGGATTTTAGAAACTGCACCCCTAAGGGGGTAAAACGGGATCCACGCGTACGAAGTCGCGGGCGGCCGCTAGTAATATAATAGATACAATTTTAAGCAGAACGAGCTGCAAACGAATGTTTTTTCTGCGTGCCTTCATGTCTGAACAAACTGTATTAATTTATAATAATGACTGCTGCCATTTCATACAAACGTTTATTTTGTCAACAAACTACATTTTTATATTCTGTTCGTGTCAACGTGAACGAGCAATTAGCGGATCGTGTTACATCTGTTATTGTTAACTTTATTCGCAAAAAATTCGTATAAAACTCAACAACTTAATCGGTATAAAATATGAGATCGGAGGAGTGTTTTATTAAGTTTATTATATGTATATTATAATAATCAAAATCCATCAAAAATGTAATAGACAGACAGAGTAGGTACTCATATTTTAAACATTCAAAGTCAAAGTCAAAATTTCCTTATTTGTATTATAGTGCTCACAAATCGTCAAATATTTTGCTCTTAAGGAGCCTCTACATGTCTCATAATCTTTTTACCCTACCAGCGCTTCGAGACCAACATTTGGCAAGTGCTGAGAAGAAGCGCCGCAACAAACTCAGTCACCACTGTCTGCCGGTTAATATAAATAAATAGAAAAAGCAGTAGTAGGTACATTTGATTCAGGAGCAGTTCACTGAATTTACCACGCATTCTTGTAGTGTATCTTATAAGAATGGATATTAGCATAGAGCCGTAGATAATGCTTATCTTGCATGACTGTTGGTTACTGCATAACACTTTTAATTGATCGTGATGCCAGCAAGGACAGAATTACGGTTCTTGACCTCTGATGTCCGATTCAATCGTAAACATGTTAACTATGCAAATAAAGTGGACGCGATTTCGGCACGAAGGTAAGCAAAGCAAATTATTATAATCTGCTTTTATACATTTATAATTAAAAACTCGAACTTTGCAACGAAAAAATAATGAAATCGACGTGATTATAATATTAAAATAATATTCAGTTCAAATGCTTTCCTGGTGTAATTTCCTTCATGAGTTTAGAATATAAGCTACTTTATGCGAATTGAGCAAACCGGTATGCAATTTACGATTCCATTGCTACAAAAATGCGTGTCGTTTCATCCCACGTTTCGCTTCGAGCTCCGCGTTAGCACGACCGTGACGTAGGCGCCATTTTACGTACACAAAATAGTTACTTACTGTCATCAGCTGATATGGGATCGCTGACCTTCGGCGTGTTGGTCGCGTTGGTCCACCGCTGGCCGGTGCCGTTGGCCCCCAGAATGGGCACTTGCGTTACGGTAGCCGTGTGGTTGATGGGAGCTGGAAAACAACAACATAATATTATGTGAGGACATCCAAAGATCTCAATTACGAGTAACTATAGTAAACATTTGAGAAAGGTGTGATTCAACAGCGCAAACGATATCAGTATCGACATAAAGATGCTGCGGTATTACCCGCGGCATAAAATAATAGGTCATATTTTAAGAATGAAATATTACTAAAATGCTTGCCGAAAAACAGCGTTTTAAGTTTCTGCTTAAAAGCATATAAGGTCAACAACGCAAAATGACAAGTACTTAGATCTTCTAAACGCCTACAGCTCGCCTCGGAGTAAAACAGATTGGTTTTCTGACATCTCGTAAAATAGGAAGTAGTTCCTTACTTCGAAACTAATGGGAACGATGTGATGTGCGTTTATTTATTAACTTTAATGTTGAAGTAATAAAAAATAATAATACAGTAGTATGAATTCGCGCCGGCGCACGGTGGTCCCGATTTAATAAAACATGGACATTGATGCTAGAAGCACGAATTTTTTTTTGATGGTTACTGCTATGATAACTAATAAGGCAAAAAAATATTACAATCCTACGACGTCTATTTCGTAGTAAAAAAAAATATGTAGATATTTTTTGTATGGAAGAAATTACATATCTGTAAATTTTTCGAAATTCTTAAACGATGTCAAAATGCCGATCACACATGTTATAAAACAAGTGATTCTGAGTATTTCATGCGAAGATACTTGTCACTTATCTCTGCGTACTTTTGAGTTATCGAGGGTTGAAAAATCGATTTTTTTATATTAAATATTTCCACGAAAAATTGCCAAAATTACAATATGGTGTATAAAGGGACACCTTTGATGACACATAACAACGACTCACACTCGCGCGCGCTCGTATGCATCAGCTTTTAATAAAATAAAATAAAAAATTAAGGGAAATACTTAATACAACATTGTATGTATAGGTCCGCTGGCCGTCAAAAAGTAGCTTATACGAGAGGTTGCCCAATTTACAATATGTCCATCATTGATAACTCACACAAATATCATCTCTCTCTGAAGGATAACAAGTTTTTTTTGTTTCCAGAAGCTTTTGATAGGATGGAAGCTCATAAATACTCTCTGAAGTGAGAATGAATCTCAAATTGCGATATTGCCATTTTGACAAATTACATGATGTAACTAGCGCTAACGTTTATCTTCAGGTAGACACAGTTTTAAGTTAAAAGATTGTCTACTATTTCACACTGTTTTTCGTTTTGGAACAGTTCTTTGATTATAGGTAGTCGCTAATTTCGTTTTGTTAGACTCTTTCGGTTTAGCACATAAAGCGTAAACTAATTCCTCCTCAGAATGATCTAAAAGTGTTAGAGAGCGCCTCTTCTTCTGCAGAAGAAGAATTTTGCATAAATCTTCAAAAGGTTTTTTATTTATACCAGAAGTCGATGGTTGCACATCTACTTCCGCAGTCTCATCAACTGGAGCGTCTTCCTCGGTGTTAACGTTGTCTATGCGTTGTGTTAACTCGGTAAAAAACATTTTTTAAATCTATATTTTTACATTTCGGCCAGACCATTTCAGACTAAAATGACGAACGTATTGGCATTGAATTGTCTTCCGAAGATTTGAGTAATTATCAAATCATTAAGTCGTAATTTTACAAGAAATATATCAAAGAAGATATGGTCTGCTTCCAGCAGAGCCCAAAAGACATTTTTGCACCAGAATTCGCATTGGCTAGACTCTGAAATTGTCTGGCCGAATTGTAAAAATATAGATTTAAACAATGTTTTTTACCGAGTTAACACAACGCATAGACAACGTTAATACTGAGGAAGACGCTCCAGTTGATGAGACTGCGGAAGTAGATGTGCAACCATCGACTTTTAGTATAAATAAAAAACCTTTTGAAGATTTATGCAAAATTCTTCTTCTGCAGAAGAAGAGGCGCTCTCTAACACTTTTAGATCATTCTGAGGAGGAATTAGTTTACGCTTTATGTGCTAAACTGAAAGAGTCTAACAAAACGAAATTAGCGACTACCTATAATCAAAGAACTGTTCCAAAACGAAGAACAGTGTGAAATAGTAGACAATCTTTTAACTTAAAACTGTGTCTACCTGAAGATAAACGTTAGCGCTAGTTACATCATGTAATTTGTCAAAATGGCAATATCGCAATTTGAGATTCATTCTCGCTTCAGAGAGTATTTATGGGCTTCCATCCTATCAAGAGCTTCTGGAAACAAAAAAAACTTGTTATCCTTCAGAGAGAGACGATATTTGTGTGAGTTATCAATGATGGACATATTGTAAATTGGGCAACCTCTCGTATAAGCTACTTTTTGACGGCCAGCGGACCTATACATACAACGTTGTATTAAGTATTTCCCTTAATTTTTTATTTTATTTTATTAAAAGCTGATGCATACGAGCGCGCGCGAGTGCGAGTCGTTGTTATGTGTCATCAAAGGTGTCCCTTATACACCATATTGTAATTTTGGCAATTTTTCGTGGAAATATTTAATATAAAAAAATCGATTTTTCAACCCTCGATAACTCAAAAGTACGCAGAGATAAGTGACAAGTATCTTCGCATGAAATACTCAGAATCACTTGTTTTATAACATGTGTGATCGGCATTTTGACATCGTTAGAGAATTTCGAAAAATTGACAGAAACGTAATTTCTTCCATACAAAAAATATGTATATATTTTTTTTTACTACGAAATAGACGTCGTAGGATTGTAATATTTTTTTGCCTTATTAGTTATCATAGCAGTAACCATCAAAAAAAATTTCGTGCCTCTAGCATCAATGTCCATGTTTTATTAAATCGGGACCACTGTGCGGCGCCATTTAGCTAATAAAATTCATGAATATGAATAATAAAAAAAAAACATTTTCTTTGTAAATGCATTTAACAACATGTTACAGTTCAGCACTTTTAACTGTAGTATATTTAATACTCAATGTAGTATATTTATGATATTGATGCTATTATTACTGTTTGTTACACAAGCGAAAGTAACATTCTTGATAATTTAATACACAAGAGAGAATAATGAAATATTATCTAATTTAAAAACAATAAAAAAGTAAATCAGGAAATATGTAGTTCGCTATTAGCTCATTATAAACGCGTTACTTACAAAGATGTTACCAAGCAATTAAATTATAATAAAAAATAATTAAAACCACACGTCATTAACGTGAATGCAACTCAAATTAAGCAGACAGCATACAACTAAAGTAAGTAAAATAATACAATTATAATAATTGAAAATAATAAACATTGTTCGTTCGTTCGTTCGTTTCAGCCGGATGACGTCCACAGCTGGACAAAGGCTTCCCCCAGTCGTTGTCAGCTAATAATAAAATAGTTCGAACTTAAAATACGTTTATTGCTTCATATAATAACACTCGGTATATTCTTAGACTGTTGATTTCAAAGCTTATGTTACCTAGTCCCAATTGGAGTGGAAAAGTTCCTACTTCAGCTAGATGCCAATAACAGCCAATAGCTATTGTAGCCTGCGCCTGCGCATCCAACACAATATGTCAATCTGTGATAATTTGTATTGTGCGAATGAATGGATGAATACTACTCTTCCATGCCGTTGATTTGGCAACAATGCAATAGTCGTTGCATTCAGTTGCACATCCTCATAATCCTGCCCGGTGCAATGTACGATAATCGGAACTTAGCTAACTGCCACTTAGCTCGGTCAGTGACTTGTTAACTGCTCTCACTGGCACTATCACCAGAATTAAAGCCAAACATTTTTATAACATAATCAAGTAAGTTGCGAGGTTTCATCGGTCGGATATGCACTGCAGGCAGCTGCGCAAAGGCGAAGTGTGGAAGATTTTTCTAAAAGCCTGTATTTTAAAATAATAATCATTAGCATAATGACGTACGTATATAATCGTATCGAATCTAAAATACATACAACCCTCCATTTTGCTTTGGAACTAGTGGAACAAACAGAAATGCAATTTAAACAAACACAAGAGACTTAAATTCAGATATTGTCATTTAAATACAAAATCAATCTTATAAACTCGGAATTAACCATTGAAGTAATATTGGTAATATTACTAGCGTAGGTATATCTCAATGTAATTAACCGAAAGCGACTTGAATTTCGAGTTTTTAAAATACGTCCCCAGACTATTATAATTATAATTTTAGTAATATAAAGTTATTCACGATATTATTCCAAGTTTTTTCCCCACTTTCAGTGAATTAATACTTCGAGGATGAACGCGCAGTTAATCACATCCGATTGCTGCGCAGTTGACTATCTTGTGAACAGCTCATCAGCCAATCGCAGCAGTGAATGCGTTGTTAACATAACAATTGATTAACGAGGCGTCGTTAAAACTGCTCGCCACCTGACCCGGTGGTTCATGGATCGGCCTGTCAGTTATGGTTGCTAGTTCGAATCCCGCTAGGATGAGCATAGGGTTGCCCGGTGTCCGGCTAAAGCCGGAAATATTTAACTTTTTGTCCGGCCTGTCCGGCTTTTGTAAGCCTTTTTATGTGGCTGCCGCGCCAGTCGAAAGAGCCACGTCGAGCCACAGAATAAAATCTAGCACAAATGGGCGTATCAGGATTGGACTAACGATTCGAAGATGATAGTCACTCATGGCGCTCACTCATGAGGTGTGATACTATCATACTAATTGCACATTGCAAAAGATATGTCCGGCTTTTAAGGTTAAATGTCAGGCCAAATTATGCACCTAGTAATTGGGAGATATGGACGTTTATTGATAATACCTACATTAATTATAATTTGTTGTCTCGTCACCTAGACTAGATAAGAAATCATTTTATTAGCAATAATAGGCAAACTTGCAAATTACTCGCGACCTACAATGATACCGACTTTATTGACCCCAATAATGTAATGTGATTAAATATCGTCAGCTTTTTTATTTGGTTTTTATTAAGTTTCGCTGAATTTCTCTGAAATATAACAACATTATGAGACATAACACTCTAGTATTGTTAATTTTAAAT